ATAATCATCTGCCCGAAGGCAATGACAAATGCGTTAACCCAGAGAAGGGAAAAGAACTCATAAGCGAATAAGGCATCTAAAATACAGTGTGGCTGCACCTATGTAAAGGCCAGAGCCGTACCTAGATTATATCTCGGTTCCTTGCACGCGTACACATTCTGAATAAGCCCGTTGTCGTCGGTATATCGTCCGCTACAAGGAGTAAATTGCACATTTCTCGTAGCGACTGAGAGTTCTCACTATACATAGACCCGAGATGGTTCAACGCATTCATCATAACTCGCCGCTACTGCGTAGTCTGTGTAGGTGCCTGGAAGACTACTAAACGCCATACTTTGTGAACTGCGCGTGCACACCTGTCTTGATCTTGGCATCGGGAACGTTGCTGACGGTGAAGCAAACGGCGATTAGCCAAACTGCCCACCACCCCATACACTTCAAAGTTTGCAGTCTGAAAATTTTCTTTTTTTTTCTGGAGATTTTTCCAGTATATTTGCTCACACTGGAATTATCATAACCAACTTGTTGTTGTAGACGAACTGTGCAGCGACCTTGTTCAGAGCGATGCCCAGCCGAATCCTCTTGCATAGACACAGCAGTAGTAGAAGGTAAAGGGCTGAGATTAACAGATGCATAAGTACAGGCTAACTCCAACTTGGAGTTATTTTCATATTTTTCTACGCCTGTTATCGCTCAGCTATGGATTTCCAAACTGAGCAACGACAGATTTATGAAAAAACTCTAGGGGTGAGCAATAGCACGCATTTTAGGTCCGCCATATTCCCGAGGTGTCGCTCATAGCCGACCAAGAACATCCCTCGGGCTCACCAGCAAGTCCGAGTGCGCAATACGACGCGTACTTAATCACATCTCGCTGGACATCATCTGTTATGGAGTAACCATCGGCACACTCAGAGCTTCCCGTTAGACCTGTTCATGTCAATTCGGCCTGTATCTCCTCATGAGATCCCTAGGGGGTAACTCACCAGCTTGTAGTGCCTCCGTACCAGAAGACAGATCTTTTGCAGTGTCGAGGATAGAAGCTCCCACACACTTATTGATGTATCTGCATGGCATCGTGCCTCTGTAGCTTCGAATAGTGCGAGGTAGAAACTAAGTTCTCTTATGCATTCGTGCTAAAGGAGATCGGATGCTCCCCACTTCATGCACGATTAATGAGAGAGTAGTTGTCAATTTCTAACTTGTTTCGACAACTGAGGCTAGCGAATTCAGGTAGGACAGGCGACTCTAAATCCGCCAAATTCCCGTCGTATCATTCTCTCTTTTTTTCTTGAAAGCCCAATGTGTTTGCATCGAATAGAATATATATCCGTCTCGTACGACCGTCGAGATCAGCATAGCATTCAGCAACTCTAGATGTCCGGTGGTATGCTCCAGCAGACTTACAAAAGGCCGACGACCCCTCCACCAAGTAGGATCAAGAAGAACAATATGACGGAAAGCCATACTATGACACCAACGAACATGCGGAGGAGAACCAGGTATATCTGAGAAATCAATTTCACGGACCAACGCAGGACAGCCCACACCGGAGCGCATGAGCACTTACCACGCCAATAACGAGTGAGCAAGCCGCCGTTATGATGATAGCCGGGTAGACTGTTACTATATCCCCGACAACTTCACCGAAGCCACTACCTGAGGAATATCCGAGCAACCTTTGGGCGCAATGGCATGGTGGTGAAAAAAGAAATGCTTCCGGTACTACCAAGGGCGTCTGAGAACTTCTTGGGCACGAAGCTCTTAACTCCATCCACTGCTGTGCCGATGGCTTGCATCTTAGGTACCTGGTAGGGGGTAGCCTGATTGACGGAGGATTGGAAGGATTGAGAATATCTCTCACTATACAGCTCTACATACACTAAGTAATCACAACTCCGCGGTAGTATAGTGGTGAGTATTCCTGCCTGTCACGCAGGAGACCCGGGTTCAATTCCCGGCCGCGGAATTTATCGGATACGTCTTGGATTAACACTATCATGCAAACTCGGTCTTATTCGATTGGCCTACGCAGTATCTCTTCAGCACTGATGACACTTCCACTCCTGGTAGGGGTATGCAGTACTTGGAATCGTATGGACAGAAGTCAGATGAGAAGGCTTTCATCGTGAACGTCTCCTTAGCTGAGATAACGACCAACTCCGCGAATAGAACATGGGAGCGTTCACCAGATTCTCTCGCCATGGATATCCTAGTCATAATGGAGTAATAAAAATAGAACACACGCACGCATCTTCAAGATCTCGATCAGGTCCACGCGCACAGATAACGCATCAATACCGCAGACGTTAACTCAGCTAACCTACCGCTATCGGACAAGCTCGCAACTTTCGTCCTCCAGAATGTAGCCACATCAGAAGGACCGGTCGGACCGTCTATCGGCCCCTCCCAAAAGTAACCGCCTGTTCACGATTGATAGGGTGAAGTTTCGCAAGGCGTCACTCACGATCAAGTAAGGTATCCTCCTCGGGGCATCGTTTCACGCAGATTGGTACGAAGTATTTTGTTATCTCTGATATGAAACTGTTCCCACTGGACCCGGAAAAGAGCGCTGTAGGATCGTTGAACTTGGTGGTGAGTTCATTGAGTAGATCATCGCCGAAACTCCCGCCGGTATCTCCGCTCGCCTGAATCAGTTCCGCTCATGCCCAGTGTGATATCAACTGAGGATTCTCTTACCGAAGAAATAATTGCATCAAAAACAGGTGTTGTGTTCAAGGCGTAATATACATAGTCGTAATCCGACAAGTCCAGGTGACTCATAGCCGGGTCCGTCGTGTTTCCGTCTGTCCCCTGACCTGATATTCCTAAAACCCATCCTCCAAGGAAAGCTATTCACCGAGTGCAAGTGCTCACCGCAGAAATTTCCTTGCCAATCTTGTCCGGCGATTAACCTGTTCGGGTTCCCATTCCCTTTTACCGCGACACCAAATACGACAACGAATCTAGACCGCGACCAAGTGACCCGAGACTGAGGTACATCGTCACCTACAGTGCTAGATGTGCTAAGAATAGGATGTACATCAGGACGTCGGTGCATCGCCGCTTCTTCACAGGGCCATGTGAGATGTCCTACACAGGTTCTCACGTTTCTCAGTGGCCTCACAGCTTATACCTCTTTGCCACCCTTTTGCATAGGTTTTCCAGTATCGAATTCACTCATGTCGAACTTTTGTACCCGGTCGGATCCGGTCATAAAACCGAAAACTGTCAGGATACAGGAGTCTGTCTGTCTGACCCTCGAGGCAAACTGTGTCTGCTCGAGAGAAATAGCGCTCGCCCGACTGATCGATTATTTGTAGCTTTCGGGCGCAGACGACATTGGCCTTTTACGTCCCTGCTTCTACCCACCTCTCCCAAGCAATGAAGGTTAAGGCTTATCAAATCCGAAGCAAGTCCGAGAAGGAGCTCTTGACTGACCTCGATGAGCTCAAGCAGAAGCTTGTCTCTTTGAGGGTCTCTAAGGCTCTCTCTAGCACCGCTGGCAAGGTCGCTGAGATCAGGGTAAGATACCACAGAATTATCATTCATGGTTTGGGGTACTCGTTACTTATTTATTGTTCTCAGACTGTTCGTAAGAACATCGCCCGTACCTTGACTGTCTACAACCAGACTAGGAAGGACGCCGTAAGTATTCTACTCTGGAGTTCGGTAGACTCCATAATGCTATGTTCAGGCCCGCGCTTCCTTCGCCGGCAAGAAGTACGTGCCTTTGGATCTCCGCTCCAAGTTGACCCGTGCTAAGCGTCGTGCTCTTACCCCCGCCCAGTACAACAAGAAGACTGCCAAGGAGCAGACCCGCAAGGCCAACTTCCCCATGAGGAAGTACGCCGTTGCTGCCTAAGTCGATTTTCTTCGGAGGAGAGATTGATAGTCGCCAAGAGTGGGAACAGCTGGTTCGTGTCATCGCATTCTGCAGTAGCATTTTCCTGCTGTTTCTACTCGTACGGGAGACCGGAGGGCAACAGAGAGATGCCATCTTGTTGTGTTATTCCAGTGTAATCATGACTCAGAGTCTTCATTTGCATTACGATAGAGCCGAAGTAGTGTTAGGGTTGATTGATTATTACCTTCGCGGTGGTTTTCATGTTGGTATCTGTTTTACATATCACTCGTGAGATTCCGTCTACCCTAAGTCTGTTGTACTATAATCCAGCGAGATACGTGTTCGCCAGAGTGGTTATCTCCTTGGAGTGTATGTTCAACCTAGAAGGTCATCGCTCTTGCCATCATATACAACAGCCCTTGGCCATCCTTGGGCAAGCTCGCTCTTCGAGCAGTTTAGGCGATGACTCTAACTGAGCCGAAGAACGGAACGTAATCTTGAGTAATTATGTTTCCATGTAAATTTGTCGATTTATTGAACCAATTTCAAGTGCTTGATGGCTCCTGGGGTGATGCTGTCATCGACAATGGAGATGTTATGAGTATTGTGTTCTCACGGTTCTTGCTGTGCTCAGATCGCCCATGATGATAATGAAACGGCTGCTAATCGGTCATCACAAATTAATACTATCGAAACCTTCACCCAACTGCGGGAATTTGAGTTCTATGATACATGTCAAGATCAGCACAACGTAACCGAACTATAGTGCGCCTATATTGGTACACAAGTTCGCGATGATGCTGGAAGGGAATTCAGTGACTTCGGTTTATCCGGTTGAGAACCCGAACTAGACTGAGGACAAGGCCGTTCTTATAAATCGTCTTCCAGTAGTGTTCGATTCGAACACTTCCTAATCATGTGTTCGAACAGTTCGAACACATGATTAGGAAGTTTTGACAATTCTTCTCATGTCGATGGGATTTCCACACTCGTTATCAAATCGCAGACTGGTACATCTATGACTCCCCGAAGCGGCGAATTTAGTAGAGCAGCTTTCACTTCGCTTCGATCTCCTTGCCGAAACACGTCCAGTTTCACAACGCGTTCTTTGATCTGAGTGGGAATTAAGTTATACACGTTTAACAAAATAGATTACACGAGCCAAACGCTATCACCAACCGCGTCGACTCGTACGCAACGCTGGTTTTGACTTTTTGCATTTAGCGCGCGCCGTTCTAATCGATTTTTCTCTGCGCCACTTGGAAATGGAACGTACCCGAGTTATATGGGCACTCGAGAGGAAGGTGTTGCCATCGGACGGAGCGATGCGCACAATACCACGAGCGAAGAAGAGGATGATTCCTATTATTGTGTGATGAGTATCCTTAGGCTATAGCTGAGCTATGTAGCTTCGAGTGCTAGCTTGTAGCATAGGTTTGATTATAGATAAGTATAAGTTCTTGTCTTGTTCAGATCCAAGGATCTGTACTTGATTATCTGCTTCTACTACTAAGCTACCTTGGAGTTGGGTTATCACTTGGAAACCTCTCTCTATCTCCAACAATCATCCGAGAATGAATTTCGAGACCGACGCCTTATCTGATACTATGATGGAATCTGAGCGTGCTCAGCGTAGACTTCGCCGTAATGCGGTTACTGAGCGTATGATCGCTCACAGTCATGATTTTGTTTCGATTGGTGATGAAATCGATGAAAATTGTGGGAAAAATTCTGAACACTCCTGCCTGAAGTTGTACGCCGAGAAAGGAAACATAGACTTGACTTGTTAGGAGAGTATCTTGAGGGTGTCAGCGTAAGATTCAGATTAGGTCCGCTTAGTTGTATCGATCATAATGACATGTCTCGCTCGACTTGGTGCAAGAATGGGCGTTTATGCTCTTCCTTCTGTCGTGGGAGCGGCGCCGCCGTGGTTTATGAACCCGATACGAATGCAAGTACGATTTAAAGTCACGAAGCAACAGGCTTATGATAAACCCGGTAAGTGGTACGGGAAAATATGTCCATTATTCAACTACATGCGTTTCACGTGAAGTAGCGTAAAACTTGGTTAAACAAACGCGATTTTCGCGGTGATATGCAGTAGTCGTGAAATATGTTTTTCACGTCACTAGGGTGAAACTCCATTAATATACTTTCCTTGTTGTTTTTCAGCTGACACAAGTCCGTTCACACGGCGGTTCTCGGACAAACCTCATATAGGGATGAAAGCGCTGAGTTCGGAGTATGTGGAGGCTAGCAGAATCATTGTAAAGCAGAGACATTATATTTCGAAAAATCCGGGCTCAACACGAAAGAGGAATTTCAAGTTCTATCCGGGTAGGAAGGCTGGGGTGAGGGTAAAGTGTAGAAAAGTATGCACATGGTCAACTACATTGTGGAGTTTCACTCTAGTGATATGAAAAACACTAGTGAAAAATATTAATGATCTTTCTTGGAAGATCACTTCACATTAAATTGTAATTAAATTAAATTCGCTTTACGTCAAGGTGGCTGACTCGGTTTTACGTCATGGTATCACACTTCCCCACGACTACTACAGGAATCCGCGAATATCGCGTTTTTCACGAAGTATTACGCCACTTGACGTAAAACGGGTGAAACTACACAAATTTAAAAAATAACAGTATTAAATTGATTATAATGTAATGAATGTAAAATTTCTGGGAGGAAATTTCATGCAAATTAGCATTGCTTTTTGGTATACACCTTTACCCGAATTCATATGTAAAATTGTGTACTCCTGAGGTCAGCTGAGGAGGAAAGCGATTATGTATTACTACTCCGAGGTGATACGTTTGAGTTCTGTGAAACGGTTGAGAGTGTTTATTATTACTACATTACTATGATTTACTATTTACTATTCGAAGTGGCAGGTGAGAATGTTGTGGTGACGAAAACAACTTCTTTGAAAGCTGCAGTCAGCGGGCGAGTGAAGTATACCTATGATCCGGAAAAGGAACGATTGTGATAATACTTTCCGCGCCTTCTGGTCGTGTCTATGTTCCTCGTAGTTACGCGAATGTATTGCCTGAACCTCGGGAGGAGCTGCTGCGGGAAGGTGTGGAAATTACGGTATCGGAATATGTGCATTATGAGTGATTATAGATCTATGGCGCTATCGGACGGAGTTTATAACTAGTGTAGAAGACAACAAGTTGCTGATACAGTTGAGGCAGAAGGCGTATTGGGTAGAGTCGGTGTCCCTAGTGTTAACATGGTCTGGGTCTTCAGCACATATTCCCGCGGCCGCTGGTGAACCCGCCGCAAGGAATTAGGGTTAGTCAAGAAGGATTTGTTTGAAGTAGTGTGGGGGGAAATGTACGCATGTGTTGGTAAGAAAATGAAAAAAATTTTGAGGAAATTTTGTGAGGAAATAATGGAGTTTCACCCTAGTGATGTGAAAAACTTATTTCACGACTACTGCATATCACCCCGAATATCGAGTTTTTCACTGAGTTTTACGACGCCACTTCACGTAAAACGGGTCGTGAAACTCCAATGATTTTTGTGAACTTATATTTAAATATACGTGGTGCGTATATTGCGAGTTGAGATAGATGTTGACTTTGAGTCGGAACATGGGAGTTCGTCAGGTACGATGAATGGAATAATCCTTGCATACGCGACCCTCTTATAATAGAGCCACATCCATACCCTTTAAAGGGAGATCAGTTGAAGCAGGTACGGTAGGTATTAATTAGAAAAAAGCGAATAAAAGCTACTCGAGGGTGATGAACCATCTAAGACGGTTGCATAAAAAATATCAAGAAAAGTGAATAAAACTCAACAACAGTTGCGCGTGTGTTTTCGCTTTCACCCGGGCTTTGTTCAGCACTTAAGAGGACAACTGCAAGTAACTGATCCCAGAGCTCACGAGTTCGTGGGTGAGTCGGCTCAGCGGTAAAAAGTGGAGACGACATGTTGTTTCTGTGAAAGAAATTTGTCGCGTTTGGACGAGAAACTCGGGTTCGCTTCCCCTTACTTTTTTCAGGGAGGAGGTTGAGATATGTCATTGGCATCGATAGATGTTCGTCCGAGTGGCGGTCCGCAGTCGGAAGAGTTGACTTGCGGAAATTTTGGTATGAGCGCACTAGGAATAAAATCTCCTCCTGGGCCGGGCAGGCTCTCGATAGAAGCTAGTGTTTGTAATGCAAAGATTGAGTGGGAAAGAGCTGATGCTATTTCGACCTCTTCGAAGGGTACGATGATGAACGGCACAGACGAGCCGTCTACGTCCATCCACACCAGCGCGGGTGGTCAGGTAGGGGTCCAACGAGAGACGCCTTTGCCCGGGAAAAGTGGGGGAGAGGAGGCTATTGCCACTGAAGAGGAAGAGGTCTCGTTTGTGAGTAGCACAGCTGTGGTGGTGGCAGGAAGTCTGCATAGTTCTATCGTAGTAGAAAATGATGGTAAGTTGAGTACGGTTTATCGTGTTGGAGATTTGGTGAAAATTATCCACGATGATGGTTTTGGTGGCGACCTGCGAGGGGCTTTCGAAGCGTCCATTTACGAAGTGCGGGGTACGTTGCTGACGGTGCGGTATATGGGAGATAATAAGGGACTGTATGACGAGACGATCGATGTGCTATTTCATCATAAACGGCTGCGGAAACACGGTGTGTTGGACTGGTCAAGGCTCAGCGTCGTTGGTAGTATTACGAAACCTCCTCCCGAAGGGTCGCCATCATCCGATTTCGCAGAACAGGAGGCGAGGGCTGAGGGCGCGATGACACTAGCATTGGTGGAATCGTGTTTGGCGGTTTTTGGGAGAACTCTGCCCGAGTTCGATAGAGGGTATATCCCTCGTATGTGTCGGTCAGTGCGAAGTAGAATGCATGCCCTGGTCACTCTAGATGAGCCCGATCAAGCGCTAGCAGCACTTTGTCATCATCTGGATCTTCAGCTCGGCTTTAGTGAACTGCATTTTTTCAGTGTGGACTTTTCAAGACAACGTCAAGGCCTTGGGTCGCTGCTGCTCGAGCGATGGTTGGCTCTGTTGGCCTCCTCGGGGGTGCACTATGTGGTGACGTACGCTAGTGAGAATGCAATAAGCTGGTATGAAAAACATGGCTTCGTCCATAGAAGGGATATGACTCTGCCAGAGCGTAGCATTCGAGGGCGAGTGACGCTGTGCACTGGGGCAAAGCTGATGGAATTGAACCTTCAGAATCATCCGGACCAGCGTCCGAGCATGGAGGAGCTTCGCTTGAGGCTGAAGAGGCTCGCGAGTGTTGTTAGGGAAGGGCAGCCACAACAGCAGCAGAGGCGAAGTGTAGAGCGAGTTGATTCGAATTTGGGAGGGGTGACGGTCACAGTTGATGGAAAAAAAGGATTGCAAATACAGTCTGTTAATGAGGAGGCGATGCTGATCAAAGTGAACGGCAATTGGGTACATGTGAATTACCCTGGATTCGAAATGCATGGTGATGATGATGGCATCGGTGAAGTTCGGGAGCTCGGCCCACCTTTTATGGGAGGAAACAGTGACCATGAAATTGATCGTAAACGGGCAGCGCCGGATGGGGAGGCTTTTTCAGAAGGGAAGCGGCGACGGTGCGCGAGGCTGGAAAGGTGATGATCCATGTGTAACATAGTTGAGAAGATGTGGGGAAGGCGTGGTATGAACTGCGTCTGAATGAAGAAGTCTACTGTGTATGTATCATTGATAATATTTGCATTGGTTGTTGCCTTGTCACTCGAGAGTAAGCGCTAAATGATTACATCTTGAATTGGGTTTGTTACAAACGCGGGGGGGATAGTCCCATAACAGAGATGACGAATGTTGGAGGGAAATATGGTTTGCTTTCCTGCTCAGCTGAGCCTGGGAGTTTTCTCGATTTTTGTAGGAGTTTATGTACGATTTGGGGAAAAAGTGGGACAGAAATCAACAAAAATTTCCGCGAAATTCCTCAGAATTTTTACATGAGGAGGTTCTAGGTGATACACTCATGCCCCATATTGTAATAGTCGCTTTTTTCACCTCCAACATGCCCTATGGTGAATCTTCTGAAGCTTCACTAGAACCCAACTCGATCCTCATTGAGGAAGTGCCGCCAAGGCCAGAGTTGTCTCCGCTTTCAAATAGTCGCATTCTAGCCGTACCGTACCCGCCTCGAGAGATATATAATCAGATGTAAGCATGGTATATAATCGATGGCGTATCGGACCCGAAGTGGAATAATATGTACATCGTCAACTACATGCGGAAGTAACATCTGTGAAATTTTCTTGAGGAAATTAGCATTGGTTTCTCAAACTTGTTTAATTAGTGAGGAAACTTCTAGACTCACATAAGGCAAGCGAACAAGTACTGGGAGCAGTGCTTACGCGAAGTGTTTGCGATCAGGTCCAAGTTTGTTGTATTAGTAGTAGACCTGTCCGATGCTGTACTTATGAGCGAAAATGAGCCTATTACTTTGGAGGTAGCCGTCGAGTGGTATCGATTTCGGCGCGACATACGTATTTTTTGTAGGCGCTGAAAAGTGATGTCGCGGAGGCCTTGGGAGTGGATGCTAAAGTGAAAGTGATCGAAACGATAATGTCGAGTGAGAAGCTTAGCTGAGATCGTCTGGGCATTTTTATACTAAGGTTACACTGGTCTTCTGAGGGCACCCATCGAGACCGACGATGACCTTGCTGATTTGTATGGTGCTGTGCATTGTTGTGAGAATGCGAGCAGTGGTGGAAAGAAAAGAGCATCGAAGGCTGATCTACTGTAAGTGTTGTCGTCTCAGTGCGTGTAGGAGTTTGCTACTCTACGCGACATCTAAAAACGCAATTCTTGTTAGATAGGAGCTTTCCAGCAACACTGGATTTTCACCCGCGATGACAAACTGTTGGAAAATTGTTGGGTTGTCGGTCGCGAAGACACACGTCTTGAATTTACAAGGAGTATCACGCCACTTCACCTTAAACGGGTGAAACTCCATTGAGTTTTTCCGCTAATTTTTTCACCCAAGATCTAAAATAGACGTCTCAGATTAAACTCTGAAGAAAATTCCGAAATTATATTTTCCGTCGATGAAATTTTTTCGTTCACTTTTAGAATTCTCCAACTCAGAGATGAATACGAAGTTACTATCGATGGTCACTTGAAAGAGATAGAAATGCTCACAGGAGAGAAAAGTAAACTTGAGGGGAAATTGAAGACTATGGTGAGCGAATATTTTACATGTCTATAGTAGGCGTTGATTTTTCAGGAGCAGGAAATGGTTGAACTGACTGGACAGTTGTCACACAAGTTGGAGGCGGCTGAGAAGGACATCACTAAACGAGTGAAAAGCGAATTTGATGAGAAACTGAAGGCATATGAAAATGAGGTGGGTGAGGGAGATATGAATTGAACTCATCACGTGGCATTAGGTTGCTGAGAAGGAGAAGAAATTTAAGGCGCAGCTGAAAGAGAAAACACAACAAATTTTGGTCCAACAACAGGAGGTTAATCTCGAACTCTTATTTTCTGATGCGGACTCTTGCTGTTGTAGATGAGTAACTTGAGGAGAGAGTTGGACGACACACGTGAGGAGTTGAGATGCGAAAAGGAGCTCGTGGAGGAACATTCGCATACGATTTCGGAAAGAGACGCCCGCATCGGTGAGTTGTTGTTGTTGGAATCATCCATTCTGTCGCGGATATTTCAAAGCGGATTTTTAATTATAAATACATAATTAGTAATAACATAACGATATATCCAATTTCCTAAGACAATTGCGGAGCGAGCGAAGCGAGCGGAGCGTATTCTCTCACTTTACTAACACTTTGTGCGTGCGTGCGTGCGTGCGTGCGTACAAATTATCCAGCTCGATCTAGAGAGGTTATGATCACATGCTATACACCATTCGATAGCTCTCGCTCTGGGGATACTAGAAAAAATACGAAATTAGGGTTCCGCCCGGACCATGAAGATTTCCGTGCAAAAAACATATTTTTGCAGAAAAACGCCAGGCATGGGAATCGAACCCGGATGCCGAGCTCCGCCCCTTCTCCGAGAAGGCCTAGTATTACAACAAGAATATAGTGATATTAATATTAAATATATAATCATATTAAGGTATTATTAAATATATTACATTAGGTAATCGTTTATTAGTATATATATCTGAGTATATTTATTAGTAATATTTACATTAGTAAATATCAGTAACATGTTATAATATGTTGGCCACTTTCGAAAGTTCACTTTTCGACGGTATACTCATGCATCTGTGGCTCAGAGGAACTCCTCGCTGAGTGTGAGAGGCTGAGGGAAGAATGCATTGTCCATGCATCGAGGTGTCCGACGACTCTTGAAAGAGCAATGGGAGAGGGTTCAAGTCGACGGCCTTCACGTCAAACTCGGTGAGTTTTTACGTGTAATGGGAGTGGAACCATTCTCTCGATATCTCCAACAGAATTATCAAGTGTGTTACATTTTTCATTGACATGTGGAGTATCATATGTTCATGCAGGAACTCTAGTCGGCGAGCGAGCCTTGTAACAGTAGCAAGTCGAAAGGTAGGGAGTCTGCTGATAGTCCAGTGAGCTGTACTGAGGTTCTATCTCAGTCGAGCAGCTCATCGATGAAGCCAGTGGAGGAGCGGTCTTGCTTCACTTTCACGGTACCGGATATTACCGGTAAAGTTGATCGGTAAGTTGCTGATGGGTCGGCAGCAGAAAGATCCTCTCCAAACAAATGGCGATGCAAATGCATTGAAACTCCACTTAGTCCTACACTGTTGGTCGGTGGAATATTCCCTTTTTTGGTTGATGTTTAACGTCAGCATTCTAATAAAGAACATCGCGATTACCCCTTGTTCGTCTGGTCGGCTGAGCATGGTTCTTTGACCTTGTTGATAGTAGGCTCATCCGACCATATGATGGCAGGAGTGGGTTGTCCTTTCAATATCATCGATAGCAAGCAATACTATGATATCGTGCTTTTCCCCCCACACCTTCTTAGGTATCAAAAAGGAAGGCCCTATCTATCTGAAGAGGTTACCAACATCATTGGCCTGGAGTTTCTACAGGTCTACTACTTTGCCGTTCACCTCAGTTCAATGCAGCGTGGTATGGTTAGGTTGAGTTCTTCCCTTGTGGAGATATAACGAGTCAAGAAGGCTATTGTGCTGTGAAGTTACGGGTACCGAATAGTATTAAACTCAGCTGGTGAGTCGAGTCGCTGTAAATGCTAATAGCCAAGTTCGAACACTTGCCACATTTTATCTTCAAGATTGGTGTTTTGTGAATCCTCATGTGCCTGCGTGCATTTTGAAATAATGCTTCTTATGCAGGTCTGTGACAATAGGGCGGCAACAGAAGGGTCCCCGAGTGGATGTATTTGAACACTCTCTTTGGTGGTGTCGATACGGGTTGCTCTGGACTAACTTTTGTTCCATTGACACATTGCTAGCTGAGGTAAGCCTTCCTACGTTCCAGCAATGGTGAAGTTATGAATAACATTGTCGTGGAATTCGAACGAAACGGCGCGTATATAGATCTAGCTTCTACTTAGTTCGGGGATGCTGATGATAATGAGGAGTTGACGCTTACCGTTGAAGTCCATTCTGCTGAGGTAGCTCTCTACTTGGAGTTTCACATGAGGATCTTCATCTCAGACGATTGAGGACGGTGATGTCTCTGATGCTGAATCAACTGTGACCTCTACTTCTACTCCTGGTCATTGTCACGCATGCGGGAAGGAGCTCACCTGTGAATATGATGACATCAGAAGGCGCTCTACATCTCTCAAGGACCCGACAACTCGCAGTCGGAGCTCGAGCCCGTTGCGCTACGATGCACTAGGGAGACGCTTACCGAGTAAGGACTTCAACACTGACCTCTTGCTGGGGATATCCTTATCGACCATCTACTCCATGATCATGCGCTCACACGTCTGCGTTATCGTTCTATTCATCAGTGCGTGTTTTTCAGGTGCGATAGAGACTTCTCCTAGATCACACTGTTGTCAACAACACGTTACACACTATGCGGGTTCTGGTAAATTCTCTCTTCACCAGTTCGATGCGCGGCCTCGCACTACTCCAAGTGGTGGTGTCCGGAAACCTTGCGGGGATCTCATCCCCTTAGACCGATGATTGTGTTATCGGATTCGTGGTCCATCTAACTCATTCGAATTGATTCATAATGGAGTGGTGTATGCTACAAAAACTTGTTTATTCTTCTGATACTATCAATCTGCTGTGTTCATGATGTCCTGTTCATGGTGTTATGGGCAAACTGGGGTTTTGTTGCAGTTGGGAATGCTCAAGTGGTAGTTGGACACGACATGAGCAGTTGACACCAATGGAGTGTCCAGTGTGCTATAATCCTTATGATACTCTGGAAGAGTCTCATATCCCTAAGGTGAACAGAGTGATGCTCTTCCTTGTCAGAGTTCATATGCATAAATAACGATCAGTTCAATCGCATGCGCGTTCGAGAAATTCGCGACATTCTTCCGTGAGTAAAGTTACTATACTTACGAAAGAGGGTCGCGTCGTAGAGAGGGATTTTTTTACTATACTATAGTAGAACAATTCCTCTTCAGACGAAACAACGGCAAATATATCTGTGAGATAATATCTTTGGTTAATTTCTGGCCTACACAGAAAAGCATCCTAGTAAGCATTGTGTCGATCGTGCGAGGTACTGGTGCGCTGCGGCCACAGTCTGTGCGTTCGGTGTCTTCGGCATTTGGTAGAAGGCCCCTCTATGAGAGATATTACTACTTCCAACGGGAGAACAGGAGAGCCGCCAGCATGGAACCCACCACCCTATGCCCGCATCACATGTCCGAACTGTCGTCAGAACATGTTAGTGACGGAGGTGAGCTCCTCCTCGAGATGGTCGCCATCGACCTCGTTGATTTTTGAGGTCCGGACTAACTTTGCTCTCTTGGCTGCAGTCGAGCAAGCAGCGTCTCCTCAACGTGACGTAGCGCTGTGTTCGGTACATCCGAGGTTGGCCTGCTCGCACTTCTGCAAACAGCTGGGCCGGTTCGTTTGTGCGGAGTGTTGTGGTGGCTCTCAAGCCCATTGTGACGCTGAGCATGTTGCTATTGACACTATAGTGGACGCGGTTACTGATGATGTACGTCTGCATGTGGACTGTATTAGATGGCTGAGTTATTCTCGAGGTGCGTAACAATCTCAGTGGTCGATGCCTGCTGGTGAAGCAACAGTGTTCTTCCACTAGAGAAGAGCTCGCTAGGCGTATCGAGGCGTATACGGCTAACCTAACTTCTATACATCAGAGAGTGAGAATACAGTGCATGATGAATATTGGAGGAAAATGCAGATACAGTCAACAGCAGAGAGGCTCATCCACGAGATACAGTGTCAAGTTAAAGATGCCGAGAGGGACTTAGAGATGCGACACGCCTCTGTGAATAGTCGAACAGCTGATGTGAGTGTGCCTATAGATATCTCCGTTCTGATTAGCCTTGGTCCTGGGGGCCACGAAGAGCCCTAGGGTTATTTTTGTCATGGTCAAGCGGTTTCATATCAGCTTTCACCATGATACTTTTGGTATCTTATTTTTTCACGAAATGCTCAAAAAAATTCGAGCAATAAAAATACCCCACACCAACTGAAGATTCACTGGACTAGTTAGTGGAGCGTTAGATTCTTGGATATCCACACTAACATCATCTTCATGGTCATTGATTCCTACTATAGAACGAAGGCGTGTAGGTGGTGACGCGACTTGGTATCGTTGAGCGACGTGCCGGGGAAGCTTTCCGTCGTATGGAGTATACACTCGATGCCGTCAAAGATACTGATCGTCAAGGGAATATCTCTGGAGATGGAGAGAGCCAATCACTTTGCCCAGTGGTCCGAGACTCTGTTGAATGGTAAGCGCGGTGCTCCACCTATTCTTGCGGTACTGTGCTCAAAATCGCTCATCTTGTCATGGCGAAATTCGGCAAGTCCTCAGAGTCATGAAGTTTTCAACGTTCTTTTATATTTACTTCTGTGTTACTGTGTTCTACGCGAATATGTTCACGTTCTGTTCACGGTATCCTGAGCGCATTTCGAGTAAACGTCAGGTACTGCCAACATCGTCGGGCTATCCTCTCGCTCGATCCGGCGGAAGCTATACGATGCTGCTCGTCGAACGAGAACGGCAGTGAACTCACTGCGGCAGAGTTCGACGATGCTGCAGTAGAAGAGATGTTATCCGCCAAATGTGATGCATTGAATCTGACGCCTCCGAGGAGAGGAGCCGGAGAGCAAGAGCATAGTCCAGCGTGGATGGTCCAACACAATGCATCACCGTCGAATCGGCTTCTTCGGCTATTGCGTCCTCCCTTGGGTGAGCCTGTGATACTCTTGATCGATGAGGCAGTTTTCTCCCAGACCCACCGCGTGTGAGGTTGCGATATGAAGGAGGAACGAATGGATTGGGGACGTACCATATTCCGCATCTTTTTGAAGTGGTGGAGGAGCCTGAACGCGTAGGTCGAGACCAAAGGAAGATATGCATCCCAACTGATTTCATCTGTGAAAACCACATAAGTCACTCACTCGAATATATCTTGTCAATGAGTCGTTACAAATGCCGACCAAGTTGTTGTCTCTCAGCTACAGTCACCTCCTCGTGAGCAGCAAGACTTCTCCAACACACTCCGGATTGGCGACTTGCATCTGCAGTAAGATATTAGAGAACTACTGTCCGCGTTAGTAACGTTAGTGTACTTTTTCTTGTGCTATTCCAGTGTTGCTTAGTGAGCTTGCTTATGGAAGAGCTCGTTCGGAGCATGCTGAGGTCACACTAGCACAGCCGCGAGGTTCCATTACAGAATATTCTGCGGGAGTTATACTCGAATTTGCCTCTCTACCTCTGTGCCCTCTCTTACTCAGAATCCCATGGAGGACAGTACAAGAGAATTGAGACACTATCGGCGTTACTCGCGCTAAGTTTTCAACATTTCCCTTCCGACTCGATGCTGACTGAATACACAACATCTGTAAAGACGGATACCGTAACTCAAACCATAATTAACGTCTTGAACACGAGGAGCACGTATGATTTTCATAAGCACATACATACTCTTTGTCCAGTAAAATGCCTTAAATGTCAATACTGCTACTATCATTGGGATCGGAAAAATTGTATGCATCGAAAACGTAACGCTATTTCGTCACTTTTTTAGTCTCATCCCTCTCGTTAAACGTTTTCACATCCGCCCCCTTAATTGTCGTTGCTTTGCGCTTGGCGCGGTATGTCAGTACTGCATCAGCAAAATATGAAATCACTCGTGAAATCATACTATCATCACTCATTTGTCCACGAGTACCGATAACTGGAAGCTATCACACTCCAGCCTGCTAGAGCAACATCCGATCTCTTCATGGTGACGGCCTTGCGAGTCGCAATGCTTCTACCTTTCCTGGTAGAGTGGTTAGCAATAGTAATAACCTTATTCTCAGCCCAAGTTGGAACCAGTAAAAGAATACTGGAACCGAGAATCGAACTCGGGACCTATCGCGTGTGAGGCGATCGTCATAACCAACTAGACCATTCCAGCGATATAGATTAGGAGTACTAATACTCTATCTCAAAGGATGTCGCAACTTATATGGATACATCGTTCTCGATTCACCAAGGATACATCCATAGATCATCATCAGAAATGTCCCCAATTACTAAAGGGCACGGGATCTACTCACACCTCCGCGATGCATACTGAAATCTACACCATCCTAGTCGTTGGAAACAATGCTGAGTATTACTGACTATTAATTCGCGATATTGGGCCGGATTGTTACCACTTTGTAAGCACTTTGAGAACATTCAGACGCCATCGTCGATGGCTCATCGGCGCTGGTGTAATCAGGCTTGACAAATACTGACAGTTGGTACACCACACAGACACATCAATTGGAAACAAGCCTACATCAATTGGAAAAAGTACACTCAATAGCAATGGGTCAAACCGATTGTTGCACGTTATACTTGAGGGGCCGGGCGTTTCCCTTTTTTCTCGATGTCCCTGAAGGCTCCCACTGCCGTCACCGCTCCGAATACTGATGATGGAACTACGACGAAAAGACTACTAAACATGGGGCCGACGAGCTCATCACTACCTGTATGCTCTTCTGCGGGCAAGTCCGAAGGGTCGTCACAGTGCACCAGCCAGTAATCGAATTGATTCATCCAGTGTCTCGACACTAGGACGGCATCATACATCTTCCGCTTGGACTCATCTGGAGCCCTACCAGTCGTCGAAGACGAAATGTCATGGATATTCCAAAACGACGCGTTTGAACTAGCCAGCATGAAATGTTCGAATCACGTAGCAGTCTCCCGAACCGTCGAATTTTTCTACAGAATGTGTTGTTTTCCAACACATTTTTCCCACTCGAGTTGACTTCAGCCCGCTATATACTACCTTAACACTAGCTGCTTAGCTTGGAAGCCTTGCTTGACGGAGACACCGAGAAGTGTTTTCTCCCCAGTCCCTTTATTGACGGCGAAGAACGAATACTCCGTATTAATAAACGATCCGAACATCTTGCGAATTCTGAAATAATCCAAATTTTGACATTATTCCTATTAATAAAGAGCCTACTTATTCATAAGCCAGTGGCTTGTTTCTTTCGCACTATAGTAAATTGGATTTTCTGCAGACTCATCGCACCTGATCATATCATCCGGTACAGAGTATTTCGAGACTCTTTGACGGACCTGTGGATATTAACTGTTTTCCCAATGGAGAACCAGTCAGTAGAAGCAGTCAGGAGAGTATCTCCGAGCTCATCAGTGAGTCCGTAGACATTCCACCACGGACCGTGATACCTGATCGCATAGTACCGCTCATACCCAGGGAATAACTGTGAGCGTATACGAAGATCTAAACTCAGCAATTTGATATAAGAGACTAGGGCCTTTGATACCAGGCATGCAATCAACGACTCTAATGGAGAGTACTTGTAGTAGTATCCTAAACTGCCTCCAGTTATCTTCCCTTGCTCATCTGTTGGGAATACCTCCAATGCACTATAGGTTCGATGTGATTGCTCAATGAGCACGAAGGACTGACAAACACCTCAGATGAACGCATTGAGAATCGCGCATTGCTGACCTTCGGTAAGAGATCGAATTTACCATATTCTGGTTCCAAGGCCTCCATCCGAGCCGCAGAGCATCCCGAATGACCGAGCTTCACGACAATGTACTGCCAGAGTCCCGTTATCAATAAGACTACTGCTAAAATTGCGACAACAATCTGAAAAAAAAACTCAAGTGAACTAGAAAAGAATGCGGAACTCCTGATGGTCACCTTGAATAGAAGCCAGAAACACGACTTGGTTCTGCGTCGTCCCTGAGTGGACTCCTCGTTGACATTGTCTATATCCCTGAATTCAGGAAGAGGATGGTAAGCTGTGGTGGCACGCTCAGTAGAGGCTGACGGTGGCGACATACAAGATTTACAAACAGTTACTAAAACGAAATGTGGTCCGTTTGTATAATTCTACGGATTCGTAACCCTCTATGGCGTAGCAAGTGTGTCTATGTAAGTTATGATGATTGAAAATATTGTCTATCATAATAGCATGATCTCAAGTCGAGTGTATGATACAACTGTTGTATTACAGAGGCACTGTGATATGGCTCAGGTGCGTTGGTCGGTCGATTTAGTGCAGTGGTTAAGATTTTAGTCTTCTAATCCAAATATCCCAAGTTCAATTCTAGCACGCTGCATAATAATCGTCTTGAGTTTTTCAACATAACGTGGTAGTTACCTTGTCTCAACTTTGCATCTTACGCTTGTTTGAATACGATCCATCGCCCCAATACGTATTTTCGAGATCGTGCTCTTCTGCTGAGGCTGTACTCACTTCTCTCTTGTCTAGCGCCTACCATTTAGATCGCTCAAGGTAGACAATTAATCAACGTCTCCAAAGCCATGTATGACGCTTCATAATCCTTTTCGCTGTGTGTAACTACTACACCCGCTCCAACGTCCTTCACGACGTTTTGCCTGAATGAATCTACAGGCAGTCCATTGCTGCAACATTCTTGATCGGAAGTCGAAGCCAGTCCCCAGTCAAGCGTGAACAGAATTTCCATTCTCTCTTTCAAACATACCAGTGCCGCTGTTGAGAACATCGCCACCAGAGGATTTACTCGTAGGATAGCAGCGAGTTAGACAGGGGGGTGTTTAATAGACCTCTTCTGAGCTTCGAGTGTATAATTGGATTTGATATGTAAAACTCGAGTGCTCTTGAAACTCCGGAAAGGTCTTTCGATCACCGCGAGGAGAGTATGGCCGACTGCCAGCAGTACTCCTATCTAAGTTCAATGTTTGACCATGGAAGTATCTAATACTTGGCGAGCATCTCTCTGTTCCATGTTTGAGTATGGATAAAGACTTGGCTCTGAGACCAAAGGCTAATGATGTCTGTCTGCGTTGACTAGAGCTGGCAGTCGTACTTTACTCATCCACTGGGGTGGAGGGATTCTCGGTGGGAGAATATCACCAGTACTGATTATCATCTCTACTATTTACTAGTTATTAAGAGTGCTAGTAATCTCTACTTATTGCATGACTACTAGTCCTAGTTATTCTGTGTGATATATGCTGAACTCAACGAGATGCTGTCTCGCGAGAACAGGTGGGGGTCCTTCAAAGAAAATGCGGGTCCCGAGACGCCATCAAGGCGAGGGTCGAAAGGGATATGTTCGTAAGTCGCGACCATCGAGTTCAGTTGCGATTTGATTTCCGCTGGTTAGTCGTCAACCCAGAGATGGATGCAAAGTCGAGCATGTCTGAGCAGGCCGACCCCTTTGCTAAACCGTCGTTCTTGGACGACTCTAAAACTGTGGTGAAGGAGTGGATGGATAATCGTCAGGCGAAGGAGTTGGTAGTGCTGGCCCGGGTCACGATTCGAACGACAAGTGGTGCATCTAGGGTGGCTTCAAGACAACGTGGAAACCTGGGGGAGATCCTGAGGACCCTAGCAGTAGTGTCCCTCATAAGTTCAGAATTAACTATGACTTTACGGATTCGACTCTGGGGTCTCAGTTATGGGTAGGCTACTGTAAGGAAGCGTTGGGGGTATTCGATTGTTATAGGAAGACAGTGCTGCCCTTGGAGATATGCCCTATACGTATTTCGTTGGAAATCGGTGAGATATGTGATTTCTATACCGCACTGACAAGGTTTTCTTTCAACTCAGATTTCCCACTCTCTCAACGGCAGAGAACTACAGGTATTGGAAAGACCGGGGCATCGATCGCTTGATGCCTCGCGTATTTCCGATCAAGTTGCCCGAGTGGAGAAAATTGGATCCTAGATTCAGGTGAACTAAGACACTTCTGCTCTAATGATGGAGTGTGGAGTCTAATATTCTTGTTGATCACAGCTCACTCCGAAGTTGCTCATCCCGTTCTTGGATTTGTGGTTGTTGTGGTATGCGCAGACGCCTGCTTAGTCCGATTTTGTTGGAATTCCAGTGATTGTTGGTCACGGTAGTATGAGTCGTCTTCTTTCAGGGAGTATCTTTTCTTCCTTCACTCGTTGGATCCCGCGAGGTTCACTATCAGTCGAATTGCAGAGAGGTGAGAGAGCAAGAACTTGTATTTATGCCGACCGCAGCTGTTACAAGATATGGACTCCGGGAGAGGGATGTTCGAGTGGCGATCAAACGCTATGGTGCTGGATACTACCTCTGCCGGACTGGCTTGACAAAGCTGAAGGATAAACAAGAAGATCGGACTGAGAAAATTGAACTGGCGAAAGAGCAAAAGTGAGGGACACATTCTATCGTTACGGAGTGACTCTGTTCTACCGTCCAAGTAGTCTTCCCTTCATTGACCTGCGTTCTCCACAGTTTTGCTAAACACGTTGGATACGATGTGGTTGGTCACCAAGGTCACGATCCGGAGTCTGACGACGAGTTCGAAGGATGGAGGAGTCTCAAGGACTGGGTCCGTCAGCAGTCAGTAGAGGTTAGTTCCGAGGATTCCCCAGGCGGACTGGTATAGTCTTTCATCAGGTGGAGAGTATGTCGGCTTTCCCGATGCCGGCAAAGAGAGATCCTCTGCCTAAGCGAGTGGACATCGATATGGTGGTCCACAATGATAGTGAGTGTCAAATTATCAACTGGATAGATCCACATGACAAAGTGACTTTCTAATGTTGGAGTTTCTGATGCCAAATAATCGTTTCAAGATATTTGGGTGCCGTGTGATACAGTGTCAGTCAGTGGGTACTGATATGAGAGTAGTAGCACAAGTAGATGTCGTGATGTCAGTCTGACATCTGACATTGTCAGATGCTGATTAAAAAGACTCCAGTACTGTGAAATCAGCTTTCCATGATATCGCCAACTGATTCCAGGAAAGAATAAATATCCGATGAGCTAGGTGACTTATTTGAGGACAAGATAAATAAGTATGTCAGCTGTGGGGTTCGAACCCACGCGGATCTCTCCACCAGAACTTGAGTCTGGCGCCTTAGACCACTCGGCCAAACTGACGGATGAATTAAGACAATCAAGGCAATCGAGTTAGGGATATGTCAACTAGTTTTACATTCTCCCACTGGTCCCAGTGCCTTATCGTGGCGTGGGGTTGTTTACTGGATGGTGAATCCAACCAGATCGAAACTGGGATCGATCTACCACCGCAACTACTGCATCCACTCAACGAGTGCGATACAGGGTGGTCCATAGCTCATGTGCTTCCCTTTTACCGAGGGAAAGGTTCTCACCTCGGGTTCATCGCTGTTGTACTGCACATTCTAAGTCCCTCTGAGAGGGCTGTCATGCCGGGTGACTTCGTTTGCATTGTGAGAAGCTTTGGTATTGCATCAGCACACTGGGACCCAAGACAGCTGATACTAGACAAGTAAGACCTACTACTTCGCTAGTATCTTCAGGTACCCCATAGTCAAGTAGTTCCCCTGCATGTGTCTGCATGACCACATTGTACATGAAGTCCACCTATCCGCGTCTATCAATCGCCATAGGGACCTCTGCGGGCTGATGCGTTTTCAACGGCTGCCCTACACAATGATCTTTCAAATTCGATACTCTTCTAGAGGCGTGCATGCGGGCTCGGCCGTGCGTGATAGAGTCTCAAAGCTATACAAGCTGTGAATCAGGCGGTTCGGCGAATCATACGCTACAAGAATATTTTTGGCGCGGTCTTCCTCTACGCTGAGAGATAGGGAAGTTGATCTCTGCATAGTACGTTATTGAACACTACGCGTGCATGGGTGACTCTAAAATCCCAGAGAAAGGCATCTCGCTTGCCCGCATGGCTTCGATCTCATGTGAAGACATACCAAGCATTAGGCCCCGCCAGAGGCTCTCTAACATAGTTCTTCAACCAAACCCTCGAAGCCTTATCGAACACTTTGCAAAGATCCGTTCCCACAGAATAACGTGTGTCATCAATCTGTCTAATGATAGTTTTCTGGGAAGACTCTGATGTACATCACATCACATCTGCCGGCCAAACCGACTACTTCCCTTCCGAACGTGGCTTGTGCTAATCATTTTATTTACATAGCAAGACGCTAGGACGGGTTTGAGAAACGTAACGCTCTTTAAGTGAATGTCGAATAACAATAGCTTCTCCTTTCACACTTCCTATGCATGCTGAGCATCGAACTTGGGGTATCTGAAACCCATCGTGAATCACACTGAGTAACTGCGCACATTGGTCTTGTATTCATTGGTGTGTTCATTCTCGTGTTCTGACCTTTCATTGGTCGAAATTGATCTTGTGTTCGACGAATTTGAACTTGCGTTTCCGAATTCATGAATTTCATTTACGAATTTGAACTTTCACTTTCGACTGGTCTACGAAAACCGAACTTTCATTTCGAATTTGAACTTTCATTTCGTGAAAAGCTCCTTTCACTCGTCGAAAATCAAATTTCTTTCGTCAAATTTGCTCTTTCAATTGCTAAATTTGAGATTGAAAAGGTGTAGTGTGAGCGGTTCGCGAAACGCGCGTGGTTCGGTGAGTTGGTGCGGCGGTTAATCTGTCGTACTCCGTTTGGAAGATCGCAGGATCGATCCCTGTGGGACGCACTTCTGGATTCGGTAGAAATGTTCTCTTGGTTGGTTTGACTTGCTAACTATCGGAAGATTGCTGGATCGATCCCTGGAGGTGCTATCCTTGAAGGATACCAACCAAGAGAACATTCACATTGAAAGAAGTTCTTTCAATGTGAACGGAAGATCCTTTCAAGATCGATTCCTGGTTACTGATATCCTCGGTTTTGGCCCCGTAAGCCAGGGTTAGGTTGAGCCGGACAAACCTTACGCTCCTTAGGCTATTTTCCTAAGGACCTTAAGGAGCGACTCCTAAGTGTTATAAGGTGCAGCTCCTTAGCCTCGTTCCTTAAGGATCTTACGTAAGATTCTTAGCCTCCTAATTTTAAGGAATCCTTACACTCCTTAGCCTCATAAGTTATAAGGAGGCGCTCGTTCCTCTAGGATCTTACCCTCCTTCCTTAAAGATCTTACGCTCCTTCCTTAAGGAAGGCCTCCTAAGTCACAGGCCCATTGTGATCGGAACCACCCGGGACACCATTCCTCGACGTGATGAAAGTAGACAATTTAAAAAGGCTGAAATCTGATCCCTCGCGAGTCGCGAGCTACTAAGCCATGCTGTCGTAGGCGTTTTTGGCCTTTAAACTAACACAAACACCGTCTAGGAGGAGCCCCCTTACTTAGGCTTGGAATTCCGCCAGAGATTCGCTCATATTATGCAGTAGTTTGGATGCAGAAACAGTGCTGAAAAACCGTAGATGAATGGAAAAGGGAATGTCCAGTCAACTGACCGCTATGACAGTCACGCACTCCCCGAAGGCAACACACAAAAGGGCAGAAACATGCAAAATGATCGAACCATTGGGGTCTCCCGATAAGTTAAAGTCACTCACCGTGGTACTGTTGGACATTCCCAATGACGATGAAGAAAATGGTGAGTGAAAACCGATTAAATTTCATCCTCCACGACTCAACTGACGAGATGACTCCTCTTATCGCAGTTTCAAGAACCTGACACCTGACCCACGAGCCAGGTCGAGTATACTTGCTCATTATCTAGGACTTGACGACCATCTTCCAGACCGTTGTCACTTTCCGATAGCTGCTGCTGAAGTTGGTCGAAAACTTTGCCGATCCCGAAGGGTCGGTCGAACTTCAAGGTCTGTTACCTCAATACTATTCGGCTCTTAAGGAAGTGTTTCGTCCTCACCACAAGGAGTCATCAGTGGCTAACGGCGCCAGACACACCTTAAGTGCATCCCATACGGGTGGTTATCCACTTAACCCACAGGTATTGTACCTAACCCTAGAAATTTACTATCCTTAATAAAGCAATTCCAGTATAGGTCTGTTACCAGGATAACAACGATGCGTAATAAGGTATGAGACTAGCTGACCGTCACATTCGCCCATTACTAGTCGTTGCGTCCCGAAACGACCTTACTGGTTGCACGCTTTTGCTTCTCTCTATCCACACTCCCTGAGCCCCTACCATCCTCACCTTCCTCATCCGTTCTTGCCTTCGCTTCCTCGATCTAAGTCTCGGAGCTTG